TTATTTTGGATTTAATTTTGTTCTCTATCCAGCGAGGGGATGTGTTGATATATTTTACGCCGGCTACACTTCGAGTGGTGTGTACACGATAAACCCCGACAGAAAAACAGATTTTGAGGTATACTGCGATCTGGAGACTGACAGTGGAGGCTGGATTGTGTTCCAGAGACGACAGGACGCTTCTGTCAGCTTTCATCGGACGTGGAATGACTACAAATATGGCTTTGGAGACCTCAAAGGGAATTTCTGGCTTGGAAATGACAAGATTCATCGCATCACTTCCGCCAAGAAGATGTCGCTGCGTATCGAGCTTGAAGATTGGAACGGGAAAAAAGTGTTCGCCCGATACGACAGTTTCAAGGTGGACAACGAAAAAGCCAAGTACAAAATAACGGTCAGCGGTTACAACGGCACGTCTGGGGACTCTTTGAGTTACCATAGCAACATGATGTTTAGCACGAGAGACAGCGACAATGACAAGTGGAAAACGGGGAGCTGCTCAAATGACCTGACAGGGGGATGGTGGTTTAACGATTGTCACCACTCGAATTTGAATGGGCAGTTCATGGGTAACACGAAGGCTTACAGCGGCATTAGCTGGTCTCGTTTTAAACATAACCTCTCTTTGAAGTTTGTGGAGATGAAAATGCGAGCACAGTCGTTTGACAAAGAAAAAGAGGACGAATGACTGAAATGAGACGGAGAAAGATGGGTTTCCATTTTAGCGTTATTTTGAGCGCGTCAACGAGAATTTTAAGGGCTTTACGTGCCTAAAATACAATAGAGGCTGAGAAAACATGTGTACGGTTTGTGAGTGCTGAAAAAGATGAGTCACTCTGAACTTTTTTCTGTAGACACAAGTCGTCCATACATTTGCTCTGACATATGACCGTTAACGCACGTAAAATAACGCAACAGTGGAAATCCCGGCCCGCTTAAGGGACTTCGATATTAGGACATCTACCACATAAAGATGCTCGCTTTTATATCCCTTTACTAGGACAAAAGTACCCAAAACTAATATTTTAATTTGCATAGTCTTAACTGAATCACGTGAAATTACCACTCAAGAGCTAATATTAAAATGCACACAGGAGCTCTCACAAACAATTTTTTCATGAAGAGGGGACATCTGAGACGTAAAAGTTAGAACCACCTTTTACTGCATAACAAATAGTGCTGCATGGAAGTACTGCTCGATAGCTTTCATTTAAATGGTCACACACTATAGTTCCATCCAAAGATTTAAAAGTTAGAATTACTTGTATACATCATTATCTTATAAATAGTACACATGTACTCCTCTATAGGTTTCATTTGAATGGCACACACTGTATGGTTTCATCGTACAGTAAAGTATACAGAACCACGATAAAGACGAAATGTTTATTCTATTATGTCACTATCGTTGGACAAAGAAAAAAATCTATAACACTTTTAGCCTGTTTGGAAAAACAGCCGAAAAAAATTAAGCGCTGGAACCGAACAAACACCGCCGTTGAGTGTTTGTGTTGGTGTTGACCGACCGACCGACCTACTGACTAGCCGCGAGGCTACTTGCCCGTATGTTCTTGTTCTTGTTTTTGTTTTATTTGTGCATTGATAGATAGATAGATAGATAGATAGATAGATAGATAGATAGATAGATAGATAGATAGATAGATAGANCACACACTATAGTTCCATCCAAAGATTTAAAAGTTAGAATTACTTGTATACATCATTATCTTATAAATAGTACACATGTACTCCTCTATAGGTTTCATTTGAATGGCACACACTGTATGGGTTCATCGTACAGTAAAGTATACAGAACCACGATAAAGACGAAGTGTTTATTCTATTATGTCACTATCGCTGGACAAAGAAAAAAATCTATAACACTTTTAGCCTGTTTGGAAAAACAGCCGAAAGAAATTAAGCGCTGGAACCGAACAAACGCCGCCGTTGAGTGTTTGTGTTGGTGTTGACCGACCGACCTACTGACTAGCCACGAGGCTACCTGCCCGTATGTTCTTGTTCTTGTTCTTGTTTTATTTTTGCATTTATATATATATATATATAATTTGATTTTCGTAGAACAGTGCTCAATACATCAGAGTAGAGCGAAGTATACAATGTGGGAGGAAAAAC